TTTTGTTGCACAACATCGATTGTTAGTTCTTAAAACAATATTTAACAGTACACGGCAATGTGCAATGATAAATACCCGGTCGTTTGAAGATGATTTTCAAAAGTTTGCAATACATTTTTCTGCAAATTAATGGACGATCCGTATTTGTTTGCACTTAAACTGCTTTAGTGTGTATAATTGTGTGTGTACTTTAATTGGAAATTAAAAAGAACGCGAAACGCGAACATGCATATAGTACATGAGCACCCTTACTTAGTATTTGCAGTATCTGCAGCTTCTCCCTTTTTAAATTGTTGATTTATTGTTATCAGCGTTACAAAATAAACTGCACCAAACACAACAATATCATAATCAATAATTAATATGTCTAAAGCACCGTCAGTTTAATAACGCAATTTGTATTTGAAAAGTTTATCAGATCTACAGATGCACCCGCACTAAGAGAAAAATGTCGAATTCAAAGTGCATTTGTGCGTCCCAAGCCTCAGGCGCGAAGAGGCCGGAGTGGGAGCCGCCGTGACCGAGAAAAATCGGTTCACCCTCCCATAAAAAGTTTTCACTTAAAAAAAAAGTAAATTAAAACAAAGCCCAGGTCACAGATGATATTGTTAATTGATAATAAATATAACATCGGAAACCAATTCTAATGTCTGACAACAACAACAATAAGATCATTTAGTATATTTAACGAGCTACCTTCAGAAATTTACCCTTAAAGCATTATCACTGTTGATACAGTTTACAAATCAATGCTAACCGACCGACGAATGATTGGTTTTGCAAAGTTTTTATAATTTTTGTATAGCTTTGGTAGCAGTCTGGTACAGATACAAGCCGACCGTCACTAACACGCTACTGGACAAAACGTTTTAGTTTTCGTCAATATAATTGCATGCTAATTGTTGTTTAAAATTATTTTTTATAGAAATATCAGCGCGAAATTTTGGCAAATCACACTTTATTCGTTGAACTTCGAAACTTACCGGAACATTTTGAAAATGTTTCTTGCACCCAACTCATCTCCTTTGCTGAAGTATTTACATCTGGATGTACAACATCCGTGTGATTGCCTTGTAAACCAAAAATAATTTGGAATTTTGTTAAATTTGTCAACGAATACTTACAGTATCCTTTCTTGTACAACTCAGTAACATAAAGACTCACAATCTCCTTCAATTCACACTCTGAATATTCCTTAGGGTTAACTTTAATTCCTCCCATGGCCCCAGATAAGCCAGTGCCTATGCAGAAGTTTTTCATGGCAGAAAGTAACGCTAAAGCTTTAATATGGTCCCTGGTTATACTTGAATGTATTCTGAAGCCTTTGAAAAAATGTGGGAAATATTGAAATAGACGAATTTACAAATTCCAATTCCAATTCGAACCTCCAAGGCAAGGAGTGTTTCCAATAGCTTCACAGTAATGGGCGCGAAATCCTCTTATCACCTCTAGTTTGCCATTTTCCCTTTTCACCGGAAACCGCACGTCCAAAATCGAATTGCATTGATCGATGCTTTCAACAATGTTTTCCAATTTTTCGTGAATGTTTGAGTCGTTGACATGTAGACTTTGAAAATGTTCCCTATTATAATCACAACGTTCCAAGTTATATTCTAAATGTCACACCGCGTGCTTAAAAAATTACCTGTAACTATTTTTCAAAATGGGAAAAACTGCTTCATAAGCCCTATGCAAAAACCAATTGGTACTATCGAAAAATGCAGCATTTGCCAAAAAGAAAGCATTTCTATAACGTTCTGGAATATCGTAGTCAATTCTAGCTATTGATTTTGGCACCGACGAAAGATTTCTTAAATGCATGTTAATAAATTGGCCTGATATCCAACTTTATTTCGTAAATTTTGAAAGCTCTGATTAGACATTTGAGATTATCCCTGACTTTGACTTGACTCAGATAAATGTCATTGTAAAATCAGTTTTTCTACATGTTGTTACTTGTTGCCAGATAAAAATTCACAAAAGAAAGTATGAATTAAAAATAAATACATTTCTGCCACAAACAAATAACTCACAAAAACGGATAATAAATCAGATTCGGAAAGAGAAGCCAAAGTGGATACCTACAGTACGACCTCTATAATTTGTGCCTTCAATAGCCGGGATTCTTCGATAATCCGGAGAAGCATTCCAATTGCATTGTGTATTCCATAGTACGGATTTGATATTATTTGATTATTTAGAGCGAGATTTTTTAATTATTTTTATTTTTTATGATTGTGCAACTTTTTCCTAATTTAACAGACTTTGCATCGGGTAAGGTAACAAACCCTATTATCGGCACAGTTGACACATTTTCACCAATAATAAGGGCATCGTACATTATAGCCTCAATGCTGCTTTACCATAAGATAGTGTTTTCCTTTTTCTACAAACAGGTAAATTCCCGCCAAAACAGTCCCCCTGTTTAGATTATCCCTGACTTTGACTTGACTCAGATAAATGTCATTGTAAAATCAGTTTTCCAACATGTTGTTACTTGTTGCCAGATAAAAATTCACAAAAGAAAGTATGAATTAAAAATACTTTTCTGCTACCAACAAATAACTCACAAAAACGTATAATAAATCAGATTCGGAAAGAGAAGCCAAAGTGGATACCTACAGTGCGACCTCTATAATTTGTGCCTTCAATAGCCGGGATTCTTCGATAATCCGGAGAAGCATTCCATTTGTATTGTGTATTCCATAGTACGGATTTGATATTATTTGAACATTTAGAGCGAGATTTTTTAATTATTTTTATTATTTATGATTGTGCAACTTTTTCCTAATTYAACRGACTTTGTATCGGGTAAGGTAACAGACCCTATTATCGGCACAGTTGACACATTTTCACCAATATCGTACRTTATTATAGCCGCAATGYTGCTTTACCATAAGATAGTGTTTTCCTTTTTCTACAAACAGGTAAATTCCCGCCAAAACAGGGGGATTAGATTATTTTTGGCGTCAGTATCTATTCGGCCATTTTATGTCGAACCACCTTAGAGCTCGAATCGCTTGTGTTAAGTGCTAAGAAACACGTAAKTTCTAAAATTAGATTTTGCCCTTATAAATGGTTTGTGTACACATGATAATTACTTTAATATGATTTTATAGCTATAATTGCTTTATATATATATATAAATAATCTTTATTTCCTACAGAAAAAGGCTATCGACCCAATCGGTCTTTCTGCCCTTGCTTTATATTTGTGTTAAAATTCGAATATATTTCCGTTATTTCTGATAGAAATGGGTGTCGTAAATACGTACCCTTGTAGAAGCGTATGTGTCTATTATCGGCAGGGGTGCCGTTAATTGGTCATTATAAAAGGCAAGTTTTTAATACGATTTTTTGTTTCATTTTTCTCCTATTTAATTGACCTAATATAAAACGGAAGCGAACATTTCAAATTAAAACAGGACCTATTTCCGGCAGCATATTTTGTTGATCGGAAAATAGTTATTTTAGGTATAACTAACGTGCCAAAAATAAGTGCAAACCTGTGCCGCTAATAGGTCATCTTTCGTTACAGGTATTAAAATGCATGCAAGTAAGCGGCAGAAGTTGCAGTACAGCAATGAACAATTGGCAAAAACTGTTGAAGCAATTCAAACAGGAATGCCATTTAAAACTGCCAGCAAAACTTATGGTATTCGCCGAGCGACTCTTCAAGATAAAGTTAAAGGAAGAACCATAATGGGAAAAAAAGTGGTCCAGAAACGGTTCTAACGGAAGAAGAAACCCTTCTTGAAAACTGGCTTATTCATATAGCTAGATGTGGATTTCCTGGAACCAAAAATCAATTATTGGATAGCGTTCAGATATTAGTAAAAAATGTTCAAAGGCCAAATAATTTTGCGAGTGGACGGCCGGGACGACGATGGTATGAGGGCTTTATGGCAAGGCATCCAAGACTAGCACAACGAGTCTCGCAGCATCTAAGCAGTGGCCGATCAAATTTGACAGAAAATCGAATAAGACAATGGTTTAACGAAGTAGGAACGTATCTTGATAGCATCAACAGTTTTCAAATTACGTCAGATCCAAGCCGTGTATACAATTGTGATGAGACCGCATTTTTTCTCAGCCCAAAAGACGACCAAGTTCTAGTACGAAAGGGCGACAAAACTGTTTATTCATTCACTCTAAATTCGCGATTACAACCACAGGAAGACGCTTCCCAAAAGTATGGCGCTCGGCGTCGCACACTGCAAAATGGGTCATCACAATCTATAACATGTAACAGGTTATGACATTCCATTGAAAGAGAAACTTTACCATTCCTATACATGTGGTCGATCCAGATGAACCCCCATTTGTTATTGTGTATGATCGGATTCTGAAAGGGATCTTTTCATGTGTGGTTTTTATCACACCCACTCTCCATGTGTGGTTCATTGTCAATGGAAACGCTTTAGTTAAGTTTGTTTGCGTTTTATCGTCCATTCAATCCGGGGCTTCAATGAACGTTAACTAAAACTTTTAAAAATTTGCAAGTTGCTTTTGAACCCAGCCAGAAAAAACAGTTGATTTGCACATACCAGAAGCAAATGGAGATTGAATATACTCACTAAACAAATCACTAATAGAAATATTTTCGATAGCTCGTCCATCCAAAAATTCCAAATATCAAAACGTAAACTTCATTAAAACTGAATACAAAGGCATCCAAAGCAGGTTCCATTAAACTTTCATAGAGGGTCTTTCCAATGAACGTGACCGGTATGGAAAAATAAACATGGGCSATATATCGAACAATAATAARAGGCGACATTCTTTATCGACTGGAATAAACATTGACCCATAAAAGGGGCGAAACAAATAAACTGAACACATGAAACGCTTTACTGACCCATCAGAGTGTTTACTATCTCAGTAGAAATAAAAGCGCTGGTAGTATTGCTGGTAATGCTATTGGAGTTGATCGCCCTGAGCCGAAGAACATTGCAAATAAATGTTGATTGCTCGAATATAGTTTTTGTAATTTAATGGGCAGTTAATACGGATTTCGCCTTGTCATAGTTCGGCGATTTTCTGATGGCATGTCCTCTAAAAGAGGTCGAATTTGTTCAGGCAGAGCACGTTTTTTATATCGGACTTATACCTAAATTGCCTATTCGAACCCACGTGGGTTTAGGGCACGGTCATTGTCAGTGAATAATGGAGTTTCCATGACTAAATTTACTTTACGCCTTGTAGAGCGTGTAGCCCTTTGTTCGAAGTTTCGGTTACAACTGCGCTAAACATCCTCAAAAAATATTCGCCAGCTGTTTTCTGGATGCTTAAACTTACGGGGTTCCAATAGCTGCAGTTGTTTCAAATTTACCCATAAAAAGTTTGAGGCATCGTCTTGTCATTTTTTTATATGTTCTTCATCGTTTTATGTACATTATTATTAAGTTCCACGTACTTCGTTCCCGCTGCACGGTTAACTGTGTCAAGCATCAATAAATGTTAAGGAACATGTTGGTATTAAAAATTCATTGGCCCTAATAGATGGCTAAACATGTCATTCAACAGCTTATCGTTATTGCCTGCCCGCTGAAAGTGCCGGTTAAGCGCGCAAAGTAAACTCAATACAGAAAAATAAAATTTAGTGAGGAAATATTCCATAGGTTGCGGTTATTTAGGGCAGTTTTTAGACAACACTTGTCCTATTCTGCTGTCTGCTGGGTGATTTTTAAAACTCAGCTTTGCATGTGCAATGAATAAGCAATGAACTTTCTAATTGAAGATGTTTGAGTATTTTACAACCTATTGCTGTTAAGGCAGTAGATAATTTAACAAAAGTGGAAGGAATTAAAGAACAACAAAAGAGCGAAATGCCCAAAAAGTGTATATTCAAATCGATTTTTCATGGAAACGTTGTATGTTGTAAGTTTTCTAGGGCACTTGTAGTGCATCGAGCAAGTTTTAGGGCACTTGTAGTGCATCGGGTAAGTTTTAATCGCACTTGTAGTGCATCGGGGCTAATTCCTCCTCCAATGGTTGTTTATAGCTACAAGAGAGTACCTAAGTCCATTGCTGAAAATGTTCCACGCAGTTGGGGCATTGGTCGAAGTGACAACGGATGGATGACCGGTGAAACTGTCTTCAAGTATATTGCAAATATATGTCTTCCGTGGCTGGTAGCCGAAAAAATTGAATTTCCTGTCATATTATTTTTGGATGGACATTCCTCACATCTTACTCTGGCCTTGAGTGAATTCTGTACCAAAAATTACATAATTCTAGTCGCTTTATGTCCCAACGCCACCCATATTCTTCAACCACTAGACGTCGCTGTTTTTAGGCCGTTGAATATGGAATGGAAGAAGAGTGTTCACTGTTGGCGTATGCAAAATAACGGACACAAATTGAGCAGAGACAAGTTTGCATCCATATTGGAAACAACTTTACACAAAATGGAAATAATTCCTGACGTCATTAATAATGGATTTAGATCGTGTGGGATTGTACCTTTCAATGTAGAAAACATAAAGTTTTCGAAATACTTTAACACATCGCCGGCAAAAAGTGGAAGAGTTTCCAGAAGGATTTATAAAATTATTAGAATCTGAAATTTCGAACGAGACGTTAACGATGTTTAAATCTTCTGGAGGAAATTGGGATGGACCAACTGAAGACACTAACATTTTTTCTTTGGAGGAATAATTAACTCCGAGTTACAAAGGAAGTGCCTCCCACATCTCCTATCAAGAATGTCGAATCCGCTGAATTAAAATCTATTATCGACATTCCTGAAACAACAGACAACGAGTTAGATATTACAGGAATGTTTGATTTAAATAACTCTTATTTTCCAATACCTGTAGATATAGACGATGTTTTCAATGTATATGGAAAAAGCCAATGATTTAGATAATACAACTAATTCACAGTTCGATGCTCTTAATGTGATTGAGGACACGAACGTGAAGCTGGGCGGTAGGACTCTTATCACATAACAATCTTATCCTCTGCAAAAAAAAAATTAAAATCGTCTAGCGCATCGGATTTTTGTGCTTCTGAAGATGTTTCATCAGAAACACCACCAAGTTGTACCGTTGACACTTTAATCTCATCGGATCTACGTTCTCTTGAAGATAAACAACTTCTATTAATAACACCTCCCAGTTGTACCGCTGAAAAACCATCAAATAGTGATACGAGAAGTCTGAACAATATAAGTCAAACTAAGGG